ACCGCGACAGCCCTACTTTGTTGTACCCTGGGCAACAATATTCAAGGGCTCCATCATCACGACCCGAGGATCACCATAATATGGTCACATACAGAATATTTTACTGTAATATGCAGTAAATATACTCAATACTTGAATGCCTGACAACACGTAACCCGCCCAGAGTAACCTTTGACCCACCTCGTGTGGACTGACCAATGAGGAGAGGGTCTTAACTTGAGGCCCTCTCTTCATTGGTCAGTCTGCATGAGACTGACTCTCAACTGACGTTGAGTCATAGGCAGCGAAGCGTCTCTGTGCAGTGCAAAAGCCCGGGTGGACAGTTTGTTTAATGTAGGGTGATCATATTTCCATTTCCAAACAAGAGGACAGGGGATCTGTGCCTATGATGTCACACTATGGCAACACCACACAAACCATGTTGGGACCCATTTTTTGTAAGAACTAAATTAATATCAGATTCTGCCAATTAAAGGGCTCTAAAACAATTCATTTGTAAATATTTTGCATATTTAATGCAAAAACTCATTTTTCTGCTTTAGTGCTGCAACAAGGTTTTATTAATAATAAATTATTATACCTTTTGTTTTACTACAGCATTGGTAAGCTTCCTGTGCACAGAATATTAAGGATGCTTGTTTCAGCTGTGAGATTAGACGATAGGATCAATGATAAAATAAGTTGTCACACACTCCATGGAAACTTTCAGAGAATCCACAAATAGTGGCTTTCAAATAGTTTTGTTACTTTTTGCAAGTTTAGAAAAGAAGCAGATGAGACAGCATGTCTGATAATTTAGTTTTTCATCTGATAATATTAGAACATGTCAGTAATGTCTGAGGGGCTTTTATAAACACTGTATAACTAACACTACTGGAGAGGGTATGAATTACACAGAGGCTTCTGGGGAGCCCAGTTATTGGGGGGGGGGGGGGGGGGGGGCATTTTGCCTTGGCCCCCAAAATGTCTTGAAACGGCCCTGGGTGTGTGACTGAGTTTTGAAGGTGATCTGAATTGTATCAGATGTATAAATATTACATATGTATAACTTATTGTTTTTTACAGGTAAAAACGTGTAGTGGAGATAAATCTACCTACATTTGACTTTTCAACACTTTGTTTTGTTTTCTTGTTTTTATTTAACTATTTTCCTGTCCTGTCTGTCTCTCATCTTCCTGCATCTCCTCTTAATTCTCCAGAAAATCTGTTGCCTGGATTCTTACTTTTTCACCTCATCAGTTACTTTTGAGCAGATCATCTCCTGACCGAAAAGCGCAGAGCGCGTTTTCGATGCTGCGTGAGGTGACATCACCACAGCACAGGTGATGAGCTCCGCAGTAGCGAGCTTCAGGCACAAATAAGACAGAAAATAGAGAACATGTGCGGACATGAACGATCGTGTGCTAATTATAGTTTTTTGGTTGCGCCACTTTGAGAATGGACCATGTGCTGGAAGCAGCTGCCTGGATCGCAGCGCGACAATGCGGAACCAGTTTGCAGCAGCGCAAGTCTGCAGGCTCTCCCTCGCGCTGATCTGCCGGTACCGGCTCTCCCTCACGCTGATCTGCGGCTCTCCCTCGCGCTAATCTGCCGGCTCTCCCTCGCGCTGATCTGCCTGCTCTCCCTCGCGCTGATCTGCGGCTCTCCCCCTCGCACTGATCTGCGGCTCTCCCTCGCGCTGATCTGCGGCTCTCCCTCGCGCTGATCTGCGGCTCTCCCTCGCGCTGATCTGCCGGCTCTCCCTCGCGCTGATCTGACTTGCTCTGGTCTGCGCGCAACGGCGGACGGGAGGGGGGGGGGGGGGGGGCGCTTTTGGAAAAGTTGTGCGACACAACGAATCGATGACGCAATTCGTTGCCAACGCTTTTAGTAATCGATTTTCATCGAATTTATCGATTTGTTGTTGCAGCCCTAGTTTTCATCCAAGAGCATCACGGCCCGTGAAGAACGAGGAAGACATGATGAATTGTCTACGGCTGCAGACCCCCCGCAGATTCGCTGCTGCAGGTGGGGATCTGGGGGAATTCCTCAACCGCGACAGCCCTAGTCTAGATTAGTGTAATGTTCCTGTTAGTAGTTCCTCCTGTTAAGTGCTTATTTATTGAAATTATTCAGGTTTATAAAAAACATTTGGACTTACATTTTATTATGTTCCAGTCAATAGTCATTTATATTTCACTGCTGTAGTAATTCTTGCATTCTTTAATGAAAAAAGTAACTAAGTAGTTATTTTTGTTGGTAATTAGTTACTTTTATGATCTTGTAACTCAGTTAGTAACTGAGTTACTTTTTTGATAAAGTAATCAGTAACTATAACTAATTACTTTTTTAAAGTAACGTTCCCAACACTGCTAGTGATCCAGCCCCACAACCAACAGACGCTTTTTCTCAGCTCCCTTATCGGCTTCCCCAAGGCTCTTGTCCTGTCTGCCTACAGAGCACTTCTCTGCATTTCTCCTGAAACCACTACTCTTTTTTTTGGAAATATGGACTTAATTAATTGGTCATTCAACGTGATTGACAAAATTTTCTCTACGATGAGAACGGAGAAGGGGGCTCCCACCTGTCCCGAGGGGACATTCGCATCGGGATATGCACTCGATTCTTGGGAGGTCTGGCGAATCGTGTGCCTCTCTCAGCTGTCCATCGAGGACGTGGAAGATTTGTGGATATTCGGCCTAATGATCACTGGATTTCTTCTGATTGGAGTGGGAGGATATCTGGTTTTCTGGAAATTTGGGAAGACGGGAGCGATTGGAGTGCGACCCGTACCCACGGAATGTGCCGCTCGTGCGGTGACCTCACAGACTGGGACGTTACTCGAGGTGAACCGTAAGCTGGACAATGTCCTTGCGGCGTTGCCTGTGTTAGTGCGCAAGATGGATTTGATCTCGGAGAGGGTCGCCGGACGATGCGGGGATGTGGAATGTAAAATTGGCTTCACTGGTGGACACGAATGACCACTTAGAGACTCCAAGGCGGAGAGGAAGACTATCTCTGCCTGCCCTAAACAAAGTCATGTTTATCCTTATCTGACGCCATAGCAGCCTCTCAAGGCTGCCTCAACACACCCCCACAAAAGGAGGAATGCCGACAGATGTTGTGTCCCGACCTTCACCCTCTTCCTTCAGGCTGACATGTCTGCAGGAACTTCAATGTGCTCTCTGTTCCTTATCTCTCCCTCACACCTGTTGTTCTGCAGCTGGTCGATGTGCCGCAGTGGCAGCTCCCATTGGAGGCTTCAGGATCCCGCCCACCCCCACCTCCCCATCGGACTCTGATGTTGTATACGTGCTGTCTGTGCTTCCATGTCGGGTGTTTTTTTGCATTGGAGTGCTACACCCTGCTGGTGTAACCCTGTTAATGCCTTTTTTTTCTCCCTCCCTGAACTTTCCTCATGTAACACCCTTTTCATCTAACTATTAAGGTAGCACGACTCATGTTGCGAATGACCGCAGTCACCAATTCTTGTCATGTGTCTTACCCACGTATGTCTGATCTTTGAATTGTGTGTGCTGAAACTGAATTTCATTTCTCTGTATGTCCTGCACATCTGGAGAATATGACAATAAATGACTTTGACTTTTGACTTTGGAAAGTGGGTGAAGTCTTGCCCATGGGCACAACAACTGCAACAGACTGCAACAGACTGAGTGGGGCTCGAATCTGTGTCATACATTAGCTTTTTGTAAACCAGCTCTGTTTTTTACGCGGAAGTATTATTTGACCAATCAAATGTAGCCCTTCTGATATGCGGCCAATCAGATGGGTCCGTCCACGTAATACGTCCGCCCCCTACGTAGACCCTTAGGATGGAAAGCAACACCCGAACTGAATTAGCGGCGCCATTCCCTTGTTCATCTTGCTGGCTCAGAGCAACGAATGCACTTTGTGCTGAGGATTCTGGAATCAGCGCTGCATTCAAACGTGAACGTGTCGTTAATCATGTTTACTGGGCTGACTCCGACACGTGCCGGTGAACCAACCCACCTTCATGTCGCTAGTGTTCCACCGGGTGGTGATGTTAGCCCCAGGCTCCAGTTAGCTTCCAGCTAAAAGGCTACAGCTCTCTCCTCCCAGTCCCACCCTGCTAAAGAGGGCCTGGAAAAGTTCCCCCACACATCAAAGTGATTTTTCCTTTATGAGCTTTTATAACCTTGTTAATCAGGATAGTTGATTTGCTGCTGCACATAAACTGTCAGTCAGAAGCTCTGCTAGCCGGTTATCTTAGAGGAGCTAGTTCAATTTGTTAGCTTGTTATCAGAATCATAGTTGCAGTTTCATCATCTGAGCTGATTTTTAAGATCTAGTTAAACTTGTTCAATTTGGGGTTAAAAACAAACGTTTTCACATATTTTCCATGTAGTTTTTTTTGGTCAGTTCCTCTTCTGAAAGGTAGACGATTGTTTTTCTCTTTCCCTCAGAAAATCTTAATATTCTCCTAGTTTGGCCCAGCACAGTTCACTTCCCAATTACAGCAATAGCCTTATATCATAACCACATAAGTGGAGATAATGTTCAGTAGCAATGAGAGAATTTGCTGTTGCATTTAAGTGATGTTAACCATTATTTAACATTTAAACTTATTTTCAGATTTTTTTATTTATTCAAAAATTCGAGTAATATCGATATCGTAATATTAAGCACTGTTATCGAATATTGCAGGTTTTCCTAATATTGTGCAGCCCGAGCACGGATGGAGGGAATCTTGACGGCGGAGAGGATCTAACGCGGGATTTAAGCCTCTGATTTTTTTATTTATTCTAAAAACCCTGGTAATGGATGTTTTTCTGTAGAAAAAGTTTTATGGTGGTGGTGTTTTAAAGTCACTGAGAAACTGCATGCATGCAGTTTGTTGTTTTGCTGCTAATACAGTAGCAGGTACAGCTGCTAATACAGTAGCAGGTGCAGCTGCTAATACAGTAGCAGGTGCAGCTGCTAATACAGTAGCGGGTGCAGCTGCTAATACAGTAGCAGGTGCAGCTGCTAATACAGTAGCAGGTGCAGCTGCTAATACAGTAGCAGGTGCACCTGCTAATACAGTAGCAGGTGCAGCTGTTAATACAGTAGCAGGTGCAGCTGCATATTTTTGCAATAAAAATATTATGTTGTAATGGATTTCATGCATTAGTTTTTGTTTGCTTTGAACCCAGAGCAGACGTCACACGCCAGACGACATCAACAATGCATACTTTAGTATTTGTTCATTTGTCATGAGTAACATCGATATCGCAATATTAAGCACTGTTATCGACTATCGCAGGATTTCCTAATATCATGCAGCCCTAATTTCTATACATGTTGTTGTTAAACTTCCTCATAGGCACTTTAATGTCCCATAGTCCTATTTAGCTCTTTATCTCAGTGTGTTTACATGTCCACCAGAAAACCAAAGCATTCCCCTAAAGAGTCACGTCAGTTTATTTTTAATGCATGTAAACACGTTAGTCTGTCTGAAAGCAAACTCTTTCTAATTGAGCTGAAGCACCCAGATAATGCGGTAGCAATCCGATTACACTCTGCATGTAAACACGTCCAACAAGCTAATACAGGCTAGACGCTCGCATTCCAGAAGTGACGAAACCGCTGAGGTGGTCTTCTGCAAGGACCATCGTCACAAACAAACACACGTAACACCATAAAACAGGACAGTACGTACCAAGTAAGCTGTGCAACAGCGTTGTTGTATATTCCTTCAACCATTCTGCAGATCTTGTGCCAATTCTATCTGCTTCACTGCCGCCAGCCTCTGTTTACTGCTTGTGTTGCTATAAGCTATCTGGAAGAATCCCAAAATGAAAAGGGGCATGTCACCACCGACTGTACCGGAGTGGCACACACTTTATTTGAGAGGCCGGTTTTCTAATGCGTCTGTAAACTAGGACAAAGACTCCCAGCTTGTTGTTTGAATGCTGTAAAGCCCGGCAGTTATAGTTTATTATTCTGCTTCCGTATGTGGTTTGGCATTTAACTACTTCCACAATTCTTTAAACTTTTTACTCAATTTTAGTATCAAAACGTTCAGCTCGTTCAGCTTATGCCGGCAATGACTTTTGGTATTAAAATAATTTATACTTCTTGAGATATTCAGCTTTTTCTGCGATTTTTGGTCCCATTGAAATGAATGGGATTGCTCAATTTTCAGCTAAATCCTATCACTTTTTTTGAACTCTTATAGGTTAACTTTAACCCAGAGACTTCATTCAAGTTTCAACAAACTCACAAGACTTTCAGCTATTACTGGTTAAAAAGTCTCTTTGATATCTATTACAGTTTTTCTAAAATCACAGGTAGAATTTGAGGTACGGCTTGAGATTTTCAGAAAAAATCTCAAAAATTATAATGGGCAAAGATAGGAGCAGTGACCCTCCTTTGCTCCATTTCTGGCATTGTCCTGAGAGAACCGTAGGTCCAATTGAAATGAGACGCACGCTGGCTTGCAGCTAATGGATATACCTTCGTTTTGAGCTATTACTCATGAATGTACTCCAAACATTGTGGTCGTTTTGTTCATTTCTTTGAGAATATTCAAAATAAAAAATGTCTCACCACTCTAAACTGAAATTTCTGCACTCTAACTTTTGACCTTCACATTTTCTAGAAACAACTCTTTCCAACACCCAGACCGTTTGGATAACCGAAACAAATTATATCTCAAAAAGTTGGAATTTTTGTCAGCTTTTCAGAATGGGTTTCATTTTGTTCTTAAGTGTTACTGTTCTTTCTCTACAAGCCTCAGAAGGAGGAGAGACCCAGATTTTCTCCAATTGAAACACATGTTTTTTTTTTTTGTTTGTTTGTTTTTTTTTTAACGTGTCCTGTCTGGCTGTGAAGCAAGCAGAATTGATGTCTGAATGCTGGTAACAAGCCTTACAGTTTTACTCTCAGGTGGAGCATCAGAGCATCTGCTTTTAATGTCTCAGGTGGAGCATCAAAGAGTCTGCTTTTAATGTCGCACCTGATATTTAAAACTTTATTGTTATTGTTTTTGAATGCTTTGTAATTTCGACCAGACACGGAGACAGAGGTGAAAGAGAAAGGAAAAGAGAAAAGGTGGGGAGAGAGGGGGTTAGGTGGGGGGGGGATTCAACAAAAATAAACAATAATGAACAAGAGTCTGCTTCTAGACCTGCAAAATGAGACGAGAAAAAAGCAAAACATAACAAAAAAATGGGACACAACACCAATATAACAAAATCAAGCTATCACTGCGTCAACTTGATGAAGAAATATATAATCAATCATTGTTTAACTAAACAGTCACACGATAATATACCACAGTGCATTGAGTGCCCACCATAGTCTTAAGACATGTGTTGAACGTGCCCAAGCCCATACTTATGAGAGCACCATGTGAGCACCTGTGTGTGTACACGCGCTTGTTTATGTAAGGTTTATCTATAGGAGCGTCCAATAGAGAGTGTGAGGGACCACAGATCTGCCCCCCAAAGACGCGTAGGAGACGGGGGGGAGCTCCAAGTCCCAGAGATCCAGGCGCTGCCCCAGAACACAGGAACCCCAAGGAGCCCGCAACCAGAAAGGCCCCCGCCCCCCTCGAGAGGCACAGAGGATCGCCCCGGGGGGCCACAACCAGCAGCCGGCAGAGCCCCGGGAGATATCAGCGGCAAGTCCTCAGGCCTGCCCGCAGCCTCCCACCCCCTAGCCGGCCGAGTCCGGGACCCAGCGACCCGGGACCCAGGGGCGACCACCCCCGCCGGGGACCCAGCAGAGCCCAGGGACCCAGACCCCCCCAGGCCGCCACCGGGATTGATCAGGCAGATGCCAAAAATCTTAAACTCCCTGACCCGGGAGCCACGAACACTCAGGCAGACCAAGGCATCACACCCACACCAGGTGTGACAGGGGGGAGGGGAGACGAAGATCTATATCATCAAAGGAGGTCCCAGGAGAAGGGAGGAGTCAAAGGCCCCACCTGACATATACAGTCATACACAAACACAGTCACACACTCCCTCCCTCATGCTCACACATGCACATACAACCAAAGACTTACAAAAATACACGCCGGACACCCATTCATGCTCCCCATACACACCCTATTCACTCTGGTCCCGGTAATGCTGCACATGGGGTACAACCACCACCGGTTACCAGAGTTTGACCCTTTCTGCTGGGGTGCTGATGAGCAGGCTCCCCCGCCCACCGCCGAGCACAGCAACCCACCACCCCAGACCCCAACCAGACGGCCAGATCTCCCTCCTAGTCTCCAGCCCCAGGCAGCCAAGCAACAACAGAGGTGTGCTAAGACCCCCTGGTCTCCCTCCACCTGCTCAAACATAGTGTTGTGTGTTAAAGAGGTGTATTCTATTGCTGTGGTGAGCGGGCAGTGCGGGCATTTTCTGGCCTATGCCAGCTGATGCCACTGCACCACCCTACTTGCACCCACAGCCCTTGGTGTCTAAATGCAGTTTAAAATTCGAAGTGGGCACCGGCACTCGGGAGGAGGCTGAGAACTCCCCCTGCCAAGTGCCGTTGAATGTGCTCACTCCCAAGGCCCTAAGTGTATGTTTGCGTGGAATGTCGTCGGTGGAAGTGCATAAGGTGCAAATAAAATTGGGGGGCAGGAAGCCACAGGAATGCGGAAATGGGGTCCATACCCGCACTCCTCGACTTGTCCACCCCCCAAGGTCCTATGTGCATGTTTGTGTGATGATGTGAGGGAGCAGGAGGAGAGAAATAAACGGGGATGGGGAGGAATGGCTGGTAGGGCTTAGCCCTCCAGGGAGCCAGCTCCCCCACTGACCCCAATAGGCACCTCCGTTGTCATACCGCCGCCCAGGGCATGGAGACCCCAGCCCATCCTGCCAGGGCCCAAAGCAGCAGCATCACAGAGCCCCACAGAGCCCGAGGGAGCCGACCCAGCCCCACCCCAGCAGAATATCTATGCCCATCCCTGCATTTGCACAACTTCCAGAATATATAAGACATAAGACATCCAGGTAAGGTTGGGTCCTCCCCCTCCTGGACCTCCCCCTCCCCTGTGATGGGACAACAGAGGAGTCAGGGCCTGCCCTACGCCCCTGAACCCGGGCCAGGTACTTCTGCGTATTCCTGCCTTCTTCCCGGCGGCGTACATGTAGGGACCCGACCCCCAAGGCCCAGCCCAGATCCCCACACGGGGCCGGCCACCCCAACACCCCGAGCCCCCAGGCCCCCACCCAGACCCACCCAGGGGCAATGCAGCCGCCAGGCAGTGACCCATGGCCGCCGCCAAGACCTCCAAGGGGCTCCACTCACAACCGCCAGCAGTACACCCCCCGAGGCAACCCAAGCACCTCCAGAGGGGGGGAACGGCCCCCCAGTGCCAGACATCCCCAGTGAACCCATCCCCAGGGAACATCCAGATACTCCAAACTCAGACCCTCCACCCCCCCACCCACATCATCCCGCAGGACATCATCAACGGCCCCCCATCACCGCCATGTGATGGAACCGATCAAAGGAGCCCAGAGAGATTTATTTGAAGTGGAAGCAGAGGCTAAATCAAGTGCAATATGATCTAACAAAAGATTTCTATACTGGTTAATGCAGAGATTTTCTCTATTTTTCCAATTCAAGAGGATAGTTTTCTTAGCGATGCATATGGCAGTCAGAACCACGTGAACCAAAGATTTTTCAATCGGGACATCATCCAGGTTTCCCAGTAAACAAAGAGAGGGGGTGATTGGGATATGACATTTCAGAGACTTTGACAGGTCTTCACATACTCTACCCCAAAATTCCTGGACAGGTGGACAGGACCACAGTGCATGAACGTAATTGTCAGGAATGTTGTTTGTGCAGTGTGTACAGATGTCAGACGACACAAACCCCATCTTGAACATCCGATGACCTGTATAGTGTACTCTGTGTAGAACTTTGTACTGAATTAATTGTAAATTGGGGTGTCTGATCATTTTAAAAGTTTTTAAACAAGTTTGGGACCAGAAGTTCTGGTCAAAGCTGACTGATAGATCCACCTCCCATTTTTCAATAGGGATTGCTATTCTATCGTCTATTTTGGACAGTGTCTTATATACTTTAGACAGTAGTTTAGGGGGTTTGAGATTGCAGAAGTCTAAAACCCTTGGCGGGGTTTGTAATTCTATTTTATTGAGCTTAAATTTTTGTTTGACTACAGATTTGATTTGGTGGTATTCTAAAAAGCTATTCTTTTCTATTCCAAATTGGGAGACTATTCTATTAAATGGGATGAAGTCCAATCCTTCATATATGTTTTCCAGGTATAGGATTCCTTTATTTTTCCAGTCCAGAAGGTTCATCATTTTATTATTTTGCAAAATATCAGGATTATTCCAGATAGGTGTGCGTCTGCATGGTACTAGTGAAGACTCTGTCATTTTAAGATACTCCCACCATGCTGTCAGAGAAGTGCTGATACTAATACTTTTGAAGCCTTCATGTTTTCTTACGCTTGAGCTAATAAATGGTAAGTCTGAAAGCTCTATCGTATTGCAAAGTGTCTGTTCTATATCTAACCAGGACTCGTCTAATGGGTTATCTTGCAACCATCTTGGTATATATTGCAGCCTGTTGGCTAAAAAATAATAATAAAAGTTGGGTAGATCCAGTCCTCCTCTGTCTTTGCTCTTCTGAAGCGTTTTTAAGCTAATTCGTGGAGGTTTATCCTGCCAGAGGAATTTGGTAATTGAGGAGTCCAGAGATCTAAACCAGTCAGCTGGTGGTTTGTTTGGGATCATTGAAAATAAGTAATTTATTCTGGGTAAGACCATCATTTTAATTGTAGCAACTCTTCCCATCAGTGATATTGGTAAGGATTTCCATCTAGCAAGATCATCCTCCACTTTCTTTAAAAGTGGGATGTAGTTTAATTTGGTTAGATCTGCTAACTTGGGAGAGACATTAATTCCCAGGTATGTGATATTACCTGACTCCAGTTGAGTATTAAGTAAATTGACAAAAGAGAAATTAATTGGTAGAACTGTTGATTTTAACCAGTTTATAGAGTAATCTGAAACTTTTGAAAAAGAGTTTATCAGTTCTATTGAATGAGACAGAGACGATTGAGAATTCTGGAGGAAGAGTAAAACATCATCTGCATAAAGACTGATCTTATGTTCTATTTTATTACACTTTATCCCTTTAATACCTGTTGTTTGCCTAATTGCTGCTGCTAGTGGTTCGATAAAGATAGCAAACAGTGAGGGGGAGAGTGGGCATCCCTGCCTGGTCCCCCTCTGAAGACAGAAGCTAGCTGATATTTGGTCGTTCGTCCTAACACGTGCAATTGGCGAACTGTATAATGTTTGTAGCCAGTTTATGAAGAAGTTCCCAAAACCAAATTTATGTAAAGTTGCAAATAAGAACTTCCAGTTAACTCTATCAAAAGCCTTTTCTGCATCTAGAGATAATATACTAGTTTCTATGTTTCTACTGTAAGAGAAATCTATCAAATTAAGTAATCTACGCGAATTAGTGGACGACTGTCTACCCTTTATGAAACCAGTTTGGTCAGGGTGTATTAAGAAGGGGGTTACCTTCTCTAATCTTTTGGCCAGGGCTTTACAAATTATTTTGAGATCAACATTAATAAGAGAAATTGGGCGATAGCTGGTTGGAAATGCTGGGTCTTTGCCTGGTTTTAACAAGAGACTAATATTGGCTGAGTTCATGTTTGGCTGTAATCTGCCGCTCTCTTCGATTTCCCTCACCATTCTGAAAAATGTTGGAGCCAAAATGGTCCAGAATTCTTTGTAGAACTCTGCTGGGAACCCGTCTGGACCTGGAGCTTTCCCATTAGTCATGGATTTAAGGGCTTCCTGGAGCTCTGCTGATGTTAGTGGCGAGTCCAGGACTGCAACTTGGCTGTCTGTTAATTTAGGAAGTGTTATCCTATCAAGGAACTCATCGATCTCGTCATCTGATGGGTTTATCTGTGGTGAGTACAAAGTTTGGTAAAAGTCTCTGAAAGTGTTGTTTATTCTTTCAGGGTCATAAACTATATTCCCAGTTGAGTCTTTAACAGCAGATATGGTAGTTTTCTCTTTATTAATTTTTAATTGGCTGGCCAGAAATTTACCGGATTTATTACTATGTTCAAAGTTTTCTATTCGTAGTCTTTGTGCTAAAAATTGTGTTTTTTTTGTCAATAATTCCATGAAGTTCTAATTTAGCTTTACGTAATTTGCTCAGTAACTCTTCTTCTGTGGATGTCTCTAAAGACTTAATGATTTCTTCTAACTCCTGGATACGTTTATTTTCTGTTTTTTTCTTATGTGATGAGAAAGAGATTATTTTACCTCTCATCACTGCCTTTCCTGCCTCCCAGAGAATAGATGCTGATGTTCCAGGCAGGTCATTATGTTCTAAATATAAAGCCCACTCCTTTTTAAAAAATTCTATAAAACCTTCATCTTTAAGCAGTGATGTATTAAACCTCCAGTTTTTGCTTGGTGGGATTGCTTTCTTGTTTACTAGAGTTAAAGAAACCGGAGCATGGTCGCTGACAACAATAGGGTGTATCTCAGTGTCTGAAATGTCAGCCAGCAATGAGCTGCTGACTAGAAAATAATCCAAACGTGAATGAGAGTGATGGACGTGTGAGAAAAAAGTATACTCTCTACGGTTAGGATGAAGAGATCGCCATGCATCACAAAGCCCATAATCACTCATGTACTGTTTAACTATATAAGTGGATTGCCAATTGCGCCGAGTCCCAGCTGTACTGAGCCTGTCTAAGGAATGCATCCAAAGATTAAAATCACCTCCAAGTATAAGTGGACAGTCCAAGTGTTCGGAGAGTACAGAGAAAAAATTATGAAAGAATGGAGGGTCATCAATATTTGGACAGTATATGCTCACAATACATAAGCGTTGGTTCTGTATAGTTATTTTTAACATTATAAATCTACCTTCTGGATCAGAAACTGTGTCCAGTACTGTGAAATTGATGTTTTTGTGTATTAAAATAGCTACCCCTCTTTGCCTAGAGTTATAGCAGGCAGAGAACATGCTGGGAAACTCAGGTGTCTTAAGTTCATCTGCCGATGTGGCAGATCTATGAGTCTCCTGTAATAATATTACGTCTGCTTGCATTCTTTTTAACTGATCAAAAATCTTTAATCTTTTATCTCTTGAGCCAGTTCCATGTACGTTCCATGAGACAAATCTTAGTGCACCCATAGATGTGTGTGTGAGTAGCTAAAATATGACGCCTTCATGTGAATAAGATGGAATAAGTATCTAAATATATAAAATAGTATGTTAATAAATAACAGAAAAGTAAATAATAATAAGGATTCAACAGTGTTTGTGGTTGTATTATTTGACGCATAAATTATGATATTGTGTTGTGACTTAAATATATCCATGTGTGTGTGTGTGTGTGTGTGTGTGTGTGTGTGTGTGTGTGTGTGCGTGTTCCTGTGTGTGTGTGGGTCTGTGTGTGCATGTGTGTGTCTGTGTGTGTGCGTGCGTGTGCGTGTGTGTGTGTGTGTGGAGTCTGACGCAGTGTTGGAAAGTTGTGTGGTTGTGCCATACAGGTGTAAAGAAGCAGATAAAAAGAGGAAAGGAAAATACAGAAACAGGTTAAAAAAGAAGAAAGAACTAAAAAGAAAAGGTGATGGGGTGTGAGGTGATGATGAACAGGTGAACTCATCATCTAAAACACGGATCTAGCAGCTGTTTATTACTGACGTGCTCAAACCCAGTGAATCTGATAAGAAAAATAAAGGTCTGACCTGATGTTGGGCTAATACAGCCAGTCTGTCACTCCTCGCTCCTTGTAAAGTTTATTATCCACATAAAGCTTATCCACTGAGATGACAGCTCTCTTCCCATCTTGGATAAACTTTTTACGCAGCGGAAAGAGAACTCTGCGCCGATCCAGGATTTCCTTAGGAAACTGGTCATTAACGCTGAAGTCTTTGCCTTTGAGCTCTCTTCCGTGACTTTTAACCAGATCCTTCTGCTTAAAATGTTCAAATTTAGCCACGATGGGACGAGGTCGTCTGCTGTCCCCTCTTTTAGCTCCAAGGCGATGTACTCGGTCGAAGGTGATGTTTTTTACCGTTTCTTCGGGTATCTTCATTTGGGTCTGGAGAAAGTGTTTAACAGTGCGTTCGCAGTCCTCGGCCCCTCCCACCTCCTCCGACAGACCTGCAAACACCAAATTATCCCTCATGCTACGGGCCTGAAGGTCCAAAACCGTCTCCTTCAGAGTTTTGTTGTCCTGGGTGATCCGCGTCATTCCCTCCTCCAGGGAAGAAACGGACTCCCGCAGAGACGCGTTCTCAGCAGCGAGCCGCTCCACCTGCTCCTGGCTGAATTCCAGGGACTGGCGGAGGTTCTGAAACTCCTGGTGCAGAACCTCAAGCAGATGAAGACGCCCCTCAAATCCCACAAGCCGTTTATCTATGGATTCTAATAATTCCAATATGTCCTTCCGGGGAGATGAGGCCTCAGGCGAGTCCTGAGGGCGGCTCCGCTTCGTCCCAGGTGTTTCAGGTTCACCCGCTGATTTCTTCGGACCCATAACAAATAACTCGAAAACTCCGTCAATAAAGTTCTGTAAACTTTCTAAATTTTCTTCACTTACCTCCAGATTGAGCGAGTTATACTTACCAGATTATTTTTTTGCGTTGTCAGTTTTTAAATTAGGCAAAAATGCATCTGAATTGTTTGTGAATGTTTGCTAACGAGCTGCCATCAGCTTCAAACGCTGCTGTGTCCGGTAATCGGCCGTCAGCGCATGCGCATCTCTCCGCTTTCCCCTCTCCGACCTTCAATTGAAACACATGTTAAAAGGAACAGAGATTTTCTCCTCCGATCGTCTTCAGACAGCTAAAATGTTCTCGACATACCTTCTAAACAATTCAAAGTAGGCACACCAAAATTCACACAGATGACATCAAAGCCTTCTGCCGCTCACAGTTTTTGAAAATTTCCAATAGGTGCAGCGGTTTTTGAATGGTGATGAGACATTTCAGAGGTCTGAAATGACATCTGAGCACTGTTAAATGCATGATTTATGAAATTTTAAAACAAAATTTTCCACCGACTACATCTTTTAAAGTACACTAATGACTTTCTCCAATTTAGTAGTTTTTTTTCTCAGCTTTGAAGTGATGTCTTCGGTTTTGCTGTTATTACATTTTTATTACATTCAACCTGATGGGTAACGAGACAAAGCTAGATCCCTTCACTCTGAGCAGTCATTAGAAGTGGAGGACGTTTCTCCTCCTCCTTACCCAGGCACTTGAGAAGAAAGGGACCAAGTCTATTTGGAGGAGACAAGCGGACCTGAGCCTTATTGTTTTGAGCTTGTGAGTTGCCTGAAACTACCAGAACCGACCCAACAGAACCAGCTCTGAATGGTAAGTAGCCGTTAGCCATAGCATTAGATTAGCTGCAGGGTTTGGCTCCACGGCCCTAGAGAGCTAGTATTCAGCATGTTTTAGAGATTTATCTGCTTCAACACACCTGATTTTAATCAGCAACAAATAGCTGAGCTGCTTAACAGCTAATCTAACCTGTTAAAGCAGGAAAACCACTGAAACGTGCTGGATAGCAGCTCTCCAGGAGCCCTGGGCTCAAGTTACAGTCTGCTGCATAGAAAGTTATGAAACTACCCCATGAGGAAAATATTCTGTAATGTGTTCAGCCCACTAAAACTGCCCTGATTTCATTATTTATTTACTGATACCAGCTGCTTTCTTGGTCGTAGGTGATCCTCTGGTGTCTGCAGCTGGTCTCCTCTGGTGGTGTGGTCAGGATCAGGAGCTTCCAGAAGAATGTGCCTTTGAATGACTCTTTCCTCCTCTAAACAGTTATTTGTTATATTAATTAAATAAATCTCAATTTATATATTTCCTGTTTTTGTTCATGTCCATAAATACTTAAACATGCTTGAAATTAAAACGAGCTTTTAACAGTGAGGTGCTAGTTTAATTCATCACAATAGAGCTAGTTAAACATGCAACAATGTGATAATTCAGTTAATGTAATTTATAAATATCCATTAAAATATCAAAACTGGAATCAAAATGAGATATTTGGCAGCACTAAAAACTTGTCAAACACAATATTTATTATAATAATTGTAGGCAGACAGGAGACAGATCTGATGGAGGTTCTCAGTCATCGAAGGATGGCTGAAGGCTTTCCAGGAACAGGAGATGTGGTGTTGTCTCTTCTCTCTCTATTCTGCCAGATGAGCTGATAGGTTACAGGTGTGTGAGGGCATCCTCATGCTGTCATAACCAGATGACATGAGTTATCTGGTGATCCGCCAGGCTAATGATAAAATGCAGAAAGAAAACAAATCCAGGACAGTGTACAGTAATAACAATAATAATATATGGTGTTGCTCACCTTATGTGCTCTGATAGAGTATTAACGTGTGCCTGCCTCATGGTGTAGAGTCCATATTTTGCTGAATGCCCTGCAATAATGCAGGTTATTAGTTAATTTACTTTTGATAGCAAAAACAAAATATTTAATTTACATGTTTTTTACCAGGTGAATCAGCTCACATGTCACCACCAAGTGTCACAGGACCAGAATCGGTAGTCTCCTCCATGATGTCATGATGCAATCTAGCTCCAAGCTCACAGCAGCAACTCATGTGTAGCAATAAGCTATGAAACGAAAACATAGTTGATGTTAAAACTCAAAGGCTGTAATAAAGATTACATGATGATTAAAAACAACTCACCTTTACTAAGTGTGACAGCAGATTACTTGGGTTCATTTAGCCTGGGGGAAAAAATAAATATATATATATATATATATATATATATATATATATATATATATATATATATATATATATATATATATATATATATATATATATATATATATATATATAAAACATCACAGTGTTGCGGGAGGTAGCTTCCAGAGATGATGGGCGGAGAGAGGAAGGAGCTAAGGGATTTTCTGTTAGATCAGGAGGCCCTGAGGTAAAATCAAATGTTGGTGTGAGTCTGGGAAGATGCTCCTCTCCAGTGGTGACCTGCCAGGCAGAGACATAAGGAAAAAAAAACGAAAACAAGAGTACAATATTATTATTTAAAATGTTTTTACCTGGATCAGTTCATGGAGCTTGTTCTGTCATTCAGAATGAAGCTGCTCAGAAGCTCTCCACCACACCTGGTTCTGTTCAGGAGTGTAGAAGCTGCTCTGGGTGGAATTCCCATCATGATCCCAGTGTCACACGCAGCTGCTGGGAGGCTATGTAAAATATGAAGAAACAGCAAATATATTTATAGTTGTTTTTAAGAGCAGCAACACACGTGTAACAATAAGCTAAAATAATGACATAATGCTAAAACTAGAAGGTAAAGAAAGACAGATGGTTAAATAATTCACCTGCAAGGCTCTAGCCTGGACCAGTGCAGGCTAGAGGACTACATCCGTGTTGGGCAGTTTTAGCTTGAAAAATATAATAACATCACCTTGTTGTGGGAGTTTAGTAACTTAGATCGTGTACAAAACAAACTGTCTAATATATGTGCTTTATAACATGGCTGGTGAGTGATCTGACTGCTCAGGGTTAACTCGGTGTCCAGAATCAGACATGTTCTAATGAGAACTGGACTCTGCACCAGTTCAGAACCAGGTCAGCTTTTTAGCAGAAGGAGGAGCTGCTCGTCCGTGTCCCTCCTGCTCTGTATGTTGCACCCCAGATTTCTACACAATAAGTCAAGTATGGAATAATCAGTGAATTGTACAATGCCTACAGACTAGAATTAGTCAGTAAAAACTTGACTCTATGTAATACTCCTAAGGATTTGGCAATTTTACCTTTTATGTAACTAATATGGGATTTCCATGACAAGTCTTCATCAATAAGAACTCCCAAGAAATTTAGTTTCTTTTACTCTATGAATTGCAATCCCATCTATTTCCAATGACACATCACTGTTCTTATTATCATTAAACAGTATAAATTTATATATATTTTATTAAGATTCAGTGTCAATCTATATCAAACCAGTTTTTAATTTTAATCAGTTCATCATTTATCACTTTAGCCACCTCCTCAATATTTGATCCTGAGTAAAACAGTGTTGTATCATCTGAAAATAGAATGGTACCGAGTGTCTTAGATACATTTACCAAGTCGTTAATAAACAAAATGAACAGTTTTGGTCTGAGGACCGACCCTTGTGGAACTCAACAATTAATTCCACATAGTTTTGGTTTTTGGTCCTTTATCTGAACAAACTGTTTCCTTTTTTCTAAATAAGTTTTAACCCACTGATGAGCCACACCTCTTATTCCAGACCGACTTAATTTTCAAAGTAACCTTGAGTGATCAATGACGTCAAAAGCTTTTTTCAAATCAATGAAAACACTAACAAAGTCATTTTTATTGTCAATTGCTGTTGATATTTTATCAGTTAATTCCATTATTGCCATTGCTGTGGAATGTTTAGTACTAAACCCATATTGTTCATTGTTTAAAATATTTTTTTCGATGAATTTATCCAACCTTGATACAAATACTTTTTCCAAAATTTTAGAAAACTGTTGAAGCAGTGAGACCGGCCAGTAATTATTGAAACTATGTTTATCACCACTCTTGTACAAGGGAAAACTTTCGCTGTTTTCATTGCATCAGGAACATTTCCAGTAGAAAGTGATAGATTACAAATGTAAGTGAATGGTTCAGTGACATATTCTATGATGGTTTTAACAGTTATCATGTCCAGGTCCTGATAATCGGTTGATCGTTTCCACAGTTTTTTTTTTTTACCATGTTTCGTATTTCTTCTTTATCTACTTTGTCAAGGACAATACTATTGACAGTACTAATCACTGTGGTCAACTTATCTTTTATTATTGGTTTGTTCTCCATCAAACTCCTACCTACATTTACAAAAAAATCATTAAACTCATCAGTGATTTCTTTATCATCATAAATATCATTTTTGTCCTTGACAAAGTGATCTGGAATGCTGGATTTTGTTTTCTCTCTATTAGTCACACTGTTTAGTATTCCCAAGTAGCTTTGGTGTTATTTTTATTCTGATTCAATAGATTACCATAATCTTTTTTTTGCTTCCTAATTATTGTTACCAATTTATTTTTATATTTTTTATATCTATCTTCTGCTTCCCTTGTTTACAATAAAAAACTCTTATATAAATTCTTTTTTACACACGCATTCTTTAATCCCTTAGTCATCCAAGGTTACTTTTCCCTTTTACCTGTAGATTTTATTAATTTGCAGTTATCATTATGTGACTTCAAGTGTTTTCATGAAGGGTGTGTATGCAGCGTTGACATCACTGGCGTATACCTCCTTCCAATTTTGTTTATTAAGATCTTTGTTTAATGCCTCCATGGCTTTAACTGGTTTATCTCTTCTGAAGTTCATGGTGGTATTTTGTTTTATGTAGTGTTTGTCTTTGAAGACAGCGAAAACAGGTAGGTGGTCACTAATATCCATCATTATTATCTCTGTTTTCCTGACATCATCCTTATTGTTGGTGAATATATTATCAATGATTGTTGCAGTCCGAGATGTAATTCTAGTTGGCTTGTTTATCAAGGGAAATAAACCTAAACTATACAGTGAATCTGCAAAATCCTTAGTAATCTGTCCAGCCTCATGTTCTAAATTAATATTAAAGTCCCCACATAGAAATAATGTTTTGTATTTAATGTGATCAACCAATTCAATAATTTTTAATTAAATGTCCCAATTCATGATCCTGGTGCTCTATAAACACAACTAATTAAAGTATGTTTAGCAGTTTCATTGCTGATTTCTACCGTTACAATTCCCATAACATTATCTTCCATCATTGTCATTTTCTTAACTAGTTCACATTTTAGATCTGATTTAATGTACAGGGCAACCCCACAACCTCTTTTATTTTTTCTGTTTACAAAATAAAGTTCATACCCTTCCATTGTACTTCATCCATCATATCATCTTTGAGCCAAGTCTCTGTTATAGCAATCACACTAAATTTGCTTTTGAATTTATTAGAATAATCTTTGATAATTAATAACTTAGGAAAAAAGTTTCTACTATTAATGTGGATAAGTGACATTGTGTCCTTAGTCATTCTCCCACAGTTCAATTGTTCTTCTCCAATATAATCACAACTTATGTTTAATTCATATAAATTTCCATCTATTTTATTGTCAATACAGTCTTTGCCTGCTTGATATTATAATTCTGTGATCAGTAGTATTTTACAAGTAATTATAATCTTGGACAGCTGCACTAGACACGTGATGACACAGAGTAATGCTAAAGTCACACGACACATTTCCTTTTGTCTGATCCAATCAGAACCTTCGTTTCTGATGCGAGGCGTGGTTTTCTGTGGTGTTTGTATAAGCCCTCTTTTGCATGTGAAATTCTGATTCGCCAGTAAACCAAAATATGACAATTATAAAAACTATTCCACGTCACCTTTACTTCAGTTCAAAGCGTTCTAGAGAAGTTCGGACAGGCCATCCGAACACTTCTTCAGCCGAAAGACCCTTGCTCGACAAGCTGGATAAAATCTGTTGCACGTTACACCTGACCGCAATGGTTCCTTCAGAATAAAAGCTGAACCTCACGAACCCTTCAGGGTCTCGCTGAAGCCAATAATAACCTGTTGTGACCTGGGAGCATTCCGAGGCTAGTCTAATCGGCGCCGCTGCTTTTCTGCAGGCTTTGGTAAAAAGGAGGGTCCACGTACCTCAACACTCTGAGTCTAAGTGGAGGCTTCCCCTGGGGTACGTAGACCGACAGATGGCCTTTAATGTGTGTTCTAAATCTCCAACTGAAGTTTAGAGCGAAACATTCACTCCACTCAGAACTAAATGCTTCTCCAGATACGAGGTTCTGATAACAACATTCCACACATACATCATTCGTCTCACGTCTCGTTCCACCTAGTTAATCAGTACACAGTGTTTAAAGTTAGTCTTGTTTAAATTGTGTAGAAATAAATTTCCATCAGATTGATATTTCATATTTCTATGGAATCTCACATTTTATGGTTCATAAGTAAGATGTAAACTACCCATTGTTACAACAGCATCCAGGGCAGCAGAGCAGGTCTCGTTGAACAAATGCAAAAGGCCATCTACATCCATGCAGGAAACTGAACGGGGTATTGTGAGAGGACCAATATCCAGGAGAAAAAGAAAATTTGAGGTCGTATTTAGAGATAAGCACCTAGAGTAACGAGCAGCCTGTCTCTGGGCTGGAGAAAGAAGATGTGAGATATTGAATAAAATTGCAGCATGGTCAGAAAATGCCGCAGAGTCCACAGACGGGTCAATCACATCTGGTTCAAAAGATAAAGCCAAATCCAGGGTGTAAGAGCCGGTGTGTGTGGTGACATTAACCAGTTGTTGTAATCCAAATGAGTCCAAGATGTCAACAAAATCCTTCATCAATGGCCTCAGAGGACAGCAAATGTGGATATTAAAATCACCTAGGATAATTCCCTGGTCATATTTAGGGAGTAAATCAACTAAAAGATCAGAGAGTTCATTTATAAAGACACTGCTATATTTTGGTGGCCTGTAGCAAAGTACGAGTATGGGAAGAGAAAACCCCAGCTCAAAAAATGAAACCTCAAAGCTGGTTGGAGCCAGTGGCCTAGCAAGGGGTTTTAGGGGGAGACTGGAACAATACAGGGATAATAAGCCCCCCATGACAAGAGTGTCTTGGCTCATTGATAATGTTACAGCCAGGAGGACAGAGTTCAACCAGAGAATCCGACTCATCAGGCGGGACCCACATTTCAGTCATTGCAGAACGAGCTCACTTCCTTGTTGATGTAGAAGTTCTTTAGAATAGCTGTTTAATTCCTTACAGAGCGGACATTCAGTAGGGCAATCCGAATAGGTGGCAGGGACCGCAACGAAAGCTGCACATACCCGACCTCACAGGATAACAAAGATTACGGGGATTTACTCCTCCAGTGCGGCACATCGTATGACTGCTCCCATATGTGCAATCCAGCCTTTGGTGATGCAGTATCTGGATGAAACGAGTTGGAGAATCACAGGGAGGCACGTCCAGGCAAGCAAACCCACCAGCATTGCCATTCCGTCGGAGGGATCTGATCCTGACCCTGACATAGGCACGTTTTCCGCGCCGTCCAGCCAGGAGTACCAAGAAGCTCCACCAGAAACTCCTCAAACAGGCTACCGAAAATCGGCCCAAAAGTTGCATCATGAAACCGTGGAAATCCCGGGTTTAATCAAAGATCCATGAGTGTATGCCGGTCATATTGTAAAGTAGGATGACAATCAGCCGAAAAGCGATTCAAAAACAAAAGAGTCAGCATAATAGCCAGGAGAAGCAGACGGCGTGCCACAACAGTCAGCGCCATCTTTGAACTCCAGTACTGGGACCAGAGTGAATAGGGTTTGTATGGGGACCGTGAGTGGGTGTCTAGCGTTCACTTTTGTAAGTCTTAGGTTGTATGTGTATGTGTGAGCATGAGGGAGGGAGTGTGTGACTGTGTAAGACTGTATATGTCAGGTGGGATCTTGGACTCCTCCCTTCTCTTGGGTCTTCCAGTGCTGCCTGCCCTCCCCATGCAACATTTGCTGCTGAGTGTGGGGTCTTGGTCTGCCTGCGTGTTCGCGGCTTCCCGGTTCACGGAACTTAAGATTTTAGGCATCTGTCTGATTGATCCCGTTGGCTGCCTGGTGGGATCTGCGTCCCTGGCCTCTGTTGGGTCCCCGGTGGGGTTGGTCGCCCCTGGGTCCGGGGGCACTGGTTCCTGGGCTTAGCCAGCTTGGAGATGGGAGGCTGCGGGCCGGCCTCTAGGCTTGCCACTGTTATCTCCCTGGACTCTGCCGGCTGCTGGTTGTGGCCCCCCGGGGTAATCCTCTGCACCTCTCGAGGAGGGGCTGGGGCTTTTCTGGTTACAGTCTCCCTGGGGTCCCTAAGCTCTGGTGCAGCTCCTGGATCTCAGGTACTTGGAGCTCCCTTCATCTCCTACACATCTTGCTCCTATAGAGAAACCTTGTATATACAAGCAGGTGTACGTACACTAGTGCATTGAAGCAGCTGCCCTGTGATTGGCTGATTGGATAACTGCATTAAGGAGAAGTTTGTTCCTAGTAATCCGTTAGGTGAGAGTAAGTGTGAATGTGAAGTTCCATCAATCGGTAATTCACATCATGTTTCTGTGTTTCCTACAGATGTTCAACAGCTAGTGCTGGTTAAAGAAGAAGCTCCTGAGGAACAGAGTGCAGGTGAGGACCAGAAAGACCCAGAACACATCCACATGAAGGAGGAACAAGAAGAAAACTGGACCAGTCTGGAGGGAGAGCAACTCCATTTGGAGGAGAAAACTGATGCTACCAGGTTTCCATTCACATTGGCTTCTATAAAGAGTGAGGATGATGAAGAGAAACCTCGTTTCTCACAGCTTCATCAGCAGCAAGTAGACGACAAAGAAGTTCCAACCAGCAGCTCAGCTCACCAGATGACAGCAGAAATTGGTGGAAGAGCAGAAACTAGCAGGAACCAAGATCTGAACCCTCATGAACAGACATCTGATTCTTCAGAAACTGAAATGAGTGGAGATGATGAAGAGGGTGATGATGTGAATCTAGACTCTGAGCTGTCAGACTCTGGGTCTGAAACTGGAGAAGAAGACAGTGACTGGAATGAAAGCAAGTCTTCTGATTCACATGTTAGGACTGTCAACAAGTCCTTTAGCTGCCCTGAGTGTGGTAAACAATTTGTCCACAAGAGGTCTCTCCAGAAACATGTGAGAGTGTCAGGTCATTCAGCAATAAGGTCTTCAAGCTGTTTGGTCAAAAATAAATGTGTTGGAGTGAAGCAACATGTAGACTCATGCAAGAGAGTCCAGAAAGAACTAAAATCATTTAGTTGTGATGACTGTGGTAAAAGATTTAGTCGAAAGGGAAATTTAAACAGTCACATGAGAATCCACACAGGAGAAAAACCTTTTGCCTGTAAGCTCTGTGAAAAAAGACTTAGCAGTAAGAAAGATTTAAACAGGCACATGAGAGTCCACACAGGAGAACAACCTTTTGCCTGTAAGCTCTGTGGCCGAAGATTTAGCCAAAAGGGAGATTTAAACAAGCACATGAATGTCCACACTGGAAATAAACCTTTTGCTTGTGAGCTCTGTGGTCGAAGATTTGGCGCAAGAAATAATTTAAACAGGCACATGAGAGTCCACACAGGAGAACAACCTTTTGTCTGTGAGCTCTGTGGTCAAAGATTTGGAGAGAAAGCAAAATTAGGCATTCACATGAGAATCCACACAGGAGAAAAACCTTTTGCCTGTGAGCTCTGTGGTAAAAGATTCGCCTATAAACATGCCTTGGAGAGTCACGTCAGAGTCCACACAGGAGTAAAACCTTTTGTCTGTGGGCTCTGTGGTAAAAGTTTTAGCCAAAATTCAACTTTAAACAATCACATGAGAGTCCACACAGGAGGAAAACCTTTGGTCTGTGGGCTCTGTGGTAAAAGATTCGCCCAAAAAATAGCCTTGGAGAGTCACGCCAGAGTCCACACAGGAGAAAAACCTTTTGTCTGTGGGCTCTGTGGTAAAAGTTATAGCCAAAATTCAACTTTATACAATCACATGAGAGTCCACACAGGAGGAAAACCTTTGATCTGTGGGCTCTGTGGTAAAAGATTCGCCCAAAAACAAGCCTTGGAGAGACACATGAGAGTCCACACAGGAGAAAAACCTTCTTGCCTGTGAGACATGTGGTCAAAGATTTAGCGACAAGACAGAGTTAAACAGTCACATTAGAGTTCACACAAGACATAATGAATTATTTTGAATGTGTGATTGATAGAAAAAATTCCATCTGTGAGAGCAAGGGAGTTGAGGAGGCGGGCATAAATACACGCATGTGTGTGCGTGTGCATGCAAACCTTGTGGCTTCATATGGTATAAGCAGTTCTGAAAGATAAGAAGGCCCAAGGCCATTAGGACACTTAAAAACCGTTTAAAGTATTTTAAAATCGATCCTGAAAAATACTGGGAGCCAATGTAGTGATTCTGAAACTGGAGTGATGTGCTCCCACCTCCTGGTCTTCACCAGAACACGTGCTGCTGAGTTTTGTAATAGTTGTAGACCTGAAATCTTCTTTTTAGGAAGACCAGAAAGCAGGGCATTGCAGTAGTCTATCTTACTGGTGATAAAAGCATCCATCAGCGTCTCCGTATTGGCCCGAGAGAGAATGGGGCAGACTCTGGCGATGTTCTTCAGATGATAAAAACCCATTTTGGTGATATTTTTAATATGATGGATAAAAGTCAGCTCAGAGTGAAAGATGACGCTCAGGTTCTTCACCTGTGAAGATGGATTAAGAGACAGTGATTGTAATTTTGGTAAAAGTTTCTCTCTCTGGGCCTCAGGAGGGCGCATATAAAGGTTAAAAAGCACTGGGCCTAAAATTGAATCCTGGGGCACACCACATGTAATCCCATGAACCGTAGAGGAACAGGTATCCAAACCCACCATAAAAGTCCTGTCGGTGAGGTAGGAAGTGAACCATCGGTGAACAGCACCAGAGAGGCCGATCAGTTTCAAACGAGTTAAAAGAACATTGTGGTCTGCTGTGTCAAAGGCAGCACTTAGATCCAGAAGAACCAACACAGTCACCTTCCGTTTATCATAATTTACTGTAAAACCATTTAAAATCCTCAGAAGGGCCGTCTTGGTGCTGTGGTTCACCCTAAAACCATACTGAAATTTTTCAAAGACATTATGGATGTCGATAAAATCATTAAATTGAATTAAAACAAGCTTTTCTAAAATGTTGCTTAATGGTAAGTTGGATACCGGTCGATAATTGTTTAAATTATCATTTAAACAATTAATCCCCACCACAGCACAGAAACAGCTCTCATCAAGATCACTAACGACCTACTCATTGCTGCTGATTCTGGTTTAATCTCTATTCTTATTCTCCTCGATCTGAGTGCGGCCTTTGACACCATTTCTCATCCCATCCTCCTTAATAGACTCTCTTCCTTAGGCATCACTCACACCCCCCTCCGCTGGTTTCAATCTTACCTTACTGGCCGCACTCAGTTCATCCAGTTAAAATCCTTAACCTCAGAACCCTACCCAGTCAAGTCAGGTGTGCCCCAGGGCTCTGTCCTGGGGCCCCTCCTCTTCATAGTATATCTCCTCCCTATCGGCAAAATCTTCCGCAAATTCAATATCCAGTTTCACTGCTTTGCTGATGACACCCAGCTCTACATTTCCAGTAAGCCCAACTCAACTCTCCCACCATCCTCCCTTACACTCTGCCTCTCTGAAATCAAATCATGGTTCACCTCTAATTTCCTCAAACTCAACGGCAATAAAACTGAACTTCTTCTTGTTGGCACTAACTCCACCCTCTCAACATCTGACAGCTTTTCTTTAACTATTGACAGCGCCACAGTCTCCCCCTCACCTCACGTCAAGAGTTTGGGTGTCATTCTCGACAGCTCACTTTCTTTTCAGGCTCACATTAATAACTTAATTCGGTCAGCATACTTCCATCTACGTTCCATAAACCGTCTTCGTCCCTCACTGACCCCTCACACTGCCGCCATTCTCGTCCACAGCCTCGTCACCTCTCGTATCGACTATTGCAATTCACTTCTTTATGGTCTCCCCAACAAACTCCTTCATAAACTGCAACTGGTCCAGAATTCAGCAGCCCGTATTATCACCAGAACCCCTTCCTTTCACCACATCACGCCGGTTCTCCAGCAGCTTCACTGGCTCCCAGTTAAATTCAGGTCCATCTTCAAAATTCTCCTCCATACCTTCAAAGCAATCCACAACCTCTCTCCTCCATATATCTCAGACCTTATAAGTATTCACACCCCGTCCCGTTCACTCAGATCTTCTTCTTCCATCCATCTCGCGGTTCCTTCTGCCCGTCTCGCTACCATGGGGAGCAGAGCTTTCAGCCGCTCTGCTCCTCGACTCTGGAACTCACTTCCCCCAGACATCAGGAACGTCGACAGTTTTACCCTTTTCAAAACAAAACTCAAAACACATATGTTTAAATCTGCCTACAACCTCTGATTTTATTGAAATGTTTCTCTCTGTTTTTTCTTCTTTGGGTTTTATTATTGTTTTATTGTATTTTATTACGTGTTTTGTGTAAAGTGACCTTGGGTGTCCTGAAAGGCGCTTTTAAATAAAATGTATTATTATTATTATTATTATTATTATTATTATAAATTGTTAAAATCTAAATTGTTGTTCTTCAGCAGAGGCCTCACCACCGCCCGTTTAAAAGCGGCATGAAAGACCCCTGTCTGAAGGGAGCAATTCATCATAGTTAAATCCTCATCTGTAAAAGAATCATAAAATTGTTTAAAAAACCTTGTGGGAATAGGGTCCAGGACACGTGTGGTGGGTCTCACTGGGGAGAAAACTATCAAGACTCAGCTTCAACCAGAACAACACTATCCAGTGTTTCCTCGGGTAGACACACACTCTCAGATGTGTCTAAAACCACGTTACGTAGAGAGGATAAAATATTACATCTGATGGAGTCTATCTTCTCTCTGAAGTGGGCTGCAAACTCCTCAGAGAGTGTTTGAGGGGTTTTTCTGAGTTGGAGTTGAGAATATTATTGATTGTGGAGAAAAGACTTTTAGGGTAATTTTTATAGACCGAGAGGATTTTGGAAAAGTATGTGTTTCTTGAATTTCTTAAAGCATTGTTGTATGTTTTTAGTAGTGAATATATCTGATGATTTATTGTTCTCTTGTTTTTCCTGCATCTCCTCTCCGCCACTCTGCAGTTTGTCTTTACTTTTTTTAGGTTTTCATTTCTCCAAGGTGATGTATGATTTGACTGTAAGTTTTTGGTTTTGAGTGGAGCAAGCTAGTTCAGAGCTGACTCAAGTCTTCTGTTAAAATCATTGATAATAAAATCACAAAGGGCGGAGACGTTAGTTGGAGAGATATTGTTAAAAGCTTTAAGAAAACCAGCAGCCACTTCAGGGGTTAGATGATGCTTCCTTACAGTTCTCACAGAGGGCGCACACGGGATAACGCTGGTGATGTTAAAAAATACGCAATAGTGATCGGACACTGCCAAGTCGACAACAGAGGACACATCAGTGGACAGGCCATACGTGATGACCATGTCCATGGTGTGTCCTCTGTTGTGAGTTGGCTGCATGACATGTTGGGTAA